TAGTGCTAGTTGTGAATTCGAATTCAAGACATTCTTCCAAGGTGGAGAAAAATAATAAAGGATATCTCCTAAAACCTCTGGTCGCCATTGTGTTGTAAACATGACGTGCATGTCGGGACAAAATGAAAGGCATATACATGAAGTATGTCATATTTTGTTATTGAAGCGACCAATGGAAGCGACGAAGAGTCTGCGATAAATCAAAATCAATCCATTGCGTTCCATTTGTATTAAAAATCTGGGTAATCTGAATCCATGAAATCAAAATCTGGATTCACAAAAGGAACGCGACTTTAGACTACAAACGGGAAACGGTTAACACTTCTTTGCGTAATCTAAAATGACTGAAAATTGCAAATTTTGCAAGGCTATACTATCCGCATTTTACAACATTTCGCAACGAAACTTTGAAATATTACTAATTTTGTGATGCTCTTTCATGCTATAATGCAATTTTGTCTAGACTTGTTGAGATCAAAATTTTGGTTAATTGGGGAATGGTCCATTGATATTGTATGATAAATCCTAAGGCTAACTATAGGGCAAATTTGTTTCATTTGTTTATGTATGACTTTGTATTTAATAAGTGGACTTTGTTCTTGATGTTCAAGTCTTTCCTATATGCATTGTTTGCGAAAGTTTCTTAGTTAAATTAACTTTTGTAGAAGTTCATGACAAAAAGGAAAGCAAATTATTTTCATTAGCGTCCTGTACGAATTAAATTTGTTTCATTTCAATGTGCGAGTGTTAAGCTGAAACTCGAGTTGAGAAGTTTATAAATATTGGCAAAATGCAGTTAATTTCAATTCATATTTAAAAACGTTTACGTAGAGTTTCGTTATGAATTTTACATTAAAATAAAGCCCATAGAAACCAAAATATTATATCCACATTATATCTTTTAGAAATTGATAGTTCTGTATCTAAAAGTGTTCAAATTTCATCTATTTTTCCCGGTTTGTACAAAAAATTGAAAAACAATTATCGTGTTGCCATGACTAACATGATGTGCAACGCGAGCATGCGTTCAATGTTGGCGTAATTACGAATACTTCTTGTTGAAACAATGTTTGGAAAATATAGGCGAGGGGTTGTTGCATGCATGTATTTCTAGTCGTTGATATAGCTTTTCAAGTTTTCAGAAAAAATTGCGTGGGTAATCGTCAGTTTTTAGTAGAGTTGTTTACAAACTATGCGGAAATTCCGTTATATAAAGAATAATACATGGGTGCGCGGAAATACCAAATGTATTTCGAGTGTTGAGCATGAGCATGATGTCTGAAAAGTGAGCGCAGCGTACGAGTGAGATATTATGCTCAACGCAAGATATAAATGTACCACTATATTTGCTGCATACTGTATATTAAATACTGTAAATTTCAAGTGGTGACAGAATGACACTTTTGGAGTTGATTCAATTGCTTGGAATCTACAGTGTAATTAGCATACCACTTGAATTCCATTTCTAAAATAGGTTATATTTAGATAGACTCAGCGGTCCCTTTTCCATTATCGGCCGTAAATTATATCACATTTCGAGCATAGAGACAGACTGGCCGTAGCAGGCATTTCCAATGGGACAAGATTACCGATTACATTCAAACTACATATTTTGCAGCATTATAAGCAGATCCACGCTGGAGTGCAATAGTATCGAAGACCAATCTTTCAAATAAATCAACTATTGTCTTTCGAATAAGCAAACAACTTTGCGCTTGTCGACTGTTAATAAAGAGGCTCATTCCCTGTATATAAAACTGGAAACAATATTAGTCAGTTTCATTGTTGATAGACACATGCTTCATGGACGTAAAAATGAAAAGACGTGCGATTTTTGCTCTGTTACTTTTGCTTGTGCTGATTCAACTTGGCCGTTCAGACATTCGAGATGAAAAAGGTAGGTTACAGACGTCGTTTCGATGATAGCAATCGCTGTTTAAATGAGAAAGTCCAAGGCAAGGTCAAAACAGGACGATTTCGTTTCAGTCATAGTAGACCATACAGTGTTGTTTAATTATAATTAATACATTTCGGAGAAGACATACATAGCCTCAGCCAGTGTTGTAGAAGTGGGGGGTCGCTTGGGGGCGGAGCCCCCTTCTTCAAGCTCTGGGGGTGGGGGGCTGAGCCCCCCTTCTACCTTAGGAAATCGAGAATTTATTAAGAACACTATTATATAAAACTTGGCTACTTTTCCATGAAGGAGAATCAAAATTATTAAAATCGCGTCTTTAATAAATCGATACTTTATCTTGCTTCAGTGTTTCATATAATTATGCATTAAGGCTCTGTATTTTTGAACATCTATGACGTCATCAGGGACCGCGGATTAGGGGGACCTGGAGGGATTCAGCCCCCCCCCCCCCACCAGGATCTCATTTGCAATCTTAACAAAAATATTTAATTTTGATTTTAATAAACTTCAGCAGGATTAGTCGGTTTGGACTATCATAGACTTTTTAAAATACTTTAAGTTATTCCTTGCACATAATTATGTACATTAGTTCAGTCTTCATTAATACGCTGGACTGGGGTTTGTTTCCATTTATTATTTTCTTGTTATGTATTAATGGGCTCGCACTTTCCAGAAAAGCATTTTTGAGAAAGGTAGGGACGGTAAGTATGGAAAATGCAATTTAAATTACTCTTAAATACGGCATTAAATTTCGAAGAAA